TAGTTTTTCAGGTTTATAAAATATCTATATTATATCTGACCTTCTGTTCGTCCTGCTGGGCACAGACATGTCTGTGTCCATTTCACCGTCGTCTTATATTGAAAGAAGTAGTTTCTGGTTGTTTATTATTAATTGCACTTTTATTTTTATCATTTATTTAATTACTTTTAACGTTTGGTAAGTGCTTGATGTAATTCTAAACAAATGAACATTCTTTTGAGTTTGAGTTGATCAGACTTGTGTGCCCTGCACAAACAAAGCTTTTTGTTTATTTATCCGGGAGTTGAACTCAGTACCTTTCCCACGTATTTCATTGCTAGGGGACGCGTTTAATTATTGAGCTATGCAGGTTACAATAACTCGCTATATTGTGCTTATAGGAATTGATAAATATAATTAATTTATGTTTATAATTTACGACAAAATCAACGACGACATCGACGTAAACTATATGGAAATACGAGTAAGTACATAGCATTGTAAGTCTATCGATTAGACAATATCCGGTAATAGGTCTCGAATATATCTCTTTGAAACTGGATCGATAAAAATATTTGGTTAGAACTTCAGGGATTTTATAAAACATATTGCAAACTAATAGGCTCGATTTAGGGGAAATGTGGAAAAACGGATATTATTAATCATTATGTAAATCGTATAATATGCAATACTATATATAGATTTCTATAATACTATCATATACTTATAAAATATAATCGATAAATCGTATAAGGTTCTTCAAAAAAGGCTTCATGATGGAATGTTGCGCGAATATCCGAAGTTAAAATAGATCAACACCGCATTGGTTACCTTTTATATAGCTGGGTATTTCACCTTACATCAAGTTATCGCCAGGTTTTTGTCCTCCTCTATAATACGAAAAAAAAGCCGCGATCGTTTTTTCGACTAAGCGAAGACTCATTTGTAATACTAAATTACGACTCTTTGTTCTCTTTATTATAAGAAAACTTGTTAAAAATGCGTTACAGTTTTTAACCATTTTTTACGATTATACGATTTTTTTAAATACTACCTACGTCAGGTCCTAAGTAAAAACATAAGTTAATTATATTTCGGGTTTTAAGCCGTTAAACGCCTTTTATAGAAATGTCTACTATTCGCGTGAACTACAGACAATTTCAATCTACTCTAGAGTTCTAGACTGTGAACCTAGAACTGTGCTTACCTCAATGTGTTTGATCCCCGGAGGCAAAGTTTAGTCTTAATAAATCATAAGAATTATGAAGTGGAGACGAACGAAAACAAAAATATCCCTTAGTATTTCTTGACAATAAAGGGAGAGATTTAATTATGCTTCCGTATAATGATTACATAAATATTAATGAAATATTACAGTCAAGATGTAATTAACTGCCTCCTTGTACCATCAAAGGTGGAATGCTAATATTACCGAACGAAAAATATATATACCAAAAACCAGGCAACACGCTGTATAGTCTCGAATATATGTACTTAAATATCAGAACATATTATAAATATAACCATTAAGTATTGTCTGTAGTCAATGCGAGTTGACGTAAAACGGTTTTAAACGCGAAATATATCAGTAGGATTTTTCAATTTATTTTAACTACACTCCGATGTTTCGGATTCTTTGCAAAAGTTTGTCGGATAGTTGACCGTTAAAAAAGTTTTATTTAATTAACTATTATTTAATTATAAACTTTAAAACTATTTGAGATCTGGAAAATTCATGTATAATTAAATTAACATAACAAAGACCTCCAAGTTATGAACAACTCTAAAAGATAAAAAAAAATACAAAACGATAACAGTGATAAAAAAATTGATTGGATTCAAATATGACTTAGGGACCGTAGTCAATCCCACGTGTATTTCTTTTCGATAACTTGACCCATTTATACTTACAACAGAATGCAAAAATATATAAAATTGTACGTATATCTCTTTTTACAAAGCGAATATTTGTAAACTAAGGTGTGCTGTTCACTCTTCACAAAATATTTCGGGACTCCCTTTGACTCATTTCAGCCGAAGCAAATGAATAGTGAAGTAAAAGGCATTCCCTGTCTTATCACAATATGCAGCTAGGGAAGGCATTCCTAACAAACAGAGTCTGTCGCAAGTATTAAAATTGAACCCGTTTTGATGTATGGGACGAAAGAACGCAATTATGATCATTTTATGTATACACATACAATAAACAAAATAATGTGATCACTGGTCCATTGAGGGCAATGTATTGTTATTAATCAACAGGTCGTGGGTTCAATTTCCATATGTTTAGGAAAGAAAGTAAGACAACATTTGTTTCTAATCAATTTGTATTCCTTTTGAAACATGCTTTTTATGAAGTGTATAGTAGAAACGTTCACAGATGAAAATACCGTAAATTGAATCGCATTTCGATTTCAGTCCGTGGATTAACGAACCGAAATACTTTAATCTGCGGTATTTCACCTTCCATCAATTGAAGCTCAGGCATGTCTGACCTCTCGTCATTAAAAGTTATTAGTTACCTAATGTCAAAGCAAGATCTGTAACGCCATCTATTGCTTAACCAAGCAATAGATGGCGTTAAAGATCTTGCTTTAAAACAAGTTAAAATCAATATAATCCCATCATGTGTAAATAACATGTGAAAAATATTAAAGTTTTCGTTATATATTAAAAGATTAAGTATATAACGTATTTTTGTAGTACATGATTACTGCTCACCGTCAAACTTTGTTGAGCAAAATGGAAAATCTCTTTCACGAGCCCAATATTCCAATGGAAGTTGGTGAAGTTTAACTTGGAAGGCTATTAAGTGGCCGGGGCACGATTGTGAAAAACCGCCCAAACCGAAAACACTGCACAAACATCCGACCGCAAAAGCTTAAAAACACAAGAGCTCGCGAATTTCGTGGACGTCCCTTGTTTGTTCAAATGTCAGATATGAAAATAAAACAATGAACACACAAGCAGTCGACTACGAATGGGTAATAAATATATTTTTATATAACAAACAAATAAGTCAATTTTATATTACAACTGATAAGCGACGGGAGAATTATGTTACATTTGGGACAAGATTATAAACCCTAGGGTATACATTTTAAATAATCTAAGAATTGCGAACATTGGAATTCTTTCTATGGAAATAAAAAAAATGACAAGTCAGTTGCCACCTTAAGATAATGTTTTTTTTTATTATAAGTTCGTTATTCTTAAAGAAATTGGGAGTTTACTTAATTTTAAGTATGAATAAAAAAAAATACCATTATTATCTGTCAGTCTGGAACTAACATTATAGGTTACACATAGACGTTTTGGCTATGATCCAGGTAAAGGTACCGTCATCTACAGCCTATTACAGTAGCCACAACTGTTTAATATGCTCGCCCTGATGTGGCCAGCGTAAAATACATGTACTCACCTTTCAGATTGTTATCGAGTTGACGGCGTAAGATTTAAATAAGAATGGATAACTCTAGTATAAATAGATTTTTTATAAATCTATACTCATATATAAGGCTGAGGGAGTTGAACGCGCTAATGTCAGGATGGTTCGAATTGGAAAATTCTTTTTGTGTCGATTAGAACATTTAACGGGGAAGTTTATAGGCTTAAGTTTATATATCATTGCGCTGTGACAAATAGGAGCGAAGAAAACATGGGGAAAATTATTCATTTTTGTGGGTTTCCGAAACGAATGCTCCGAAAAAGGTTCAAGAGACACAAAAAGTATGTCTATCTTTTAAGAGTAACTTGCAAGAAGGGACGCGACCGACGTCGTGTGCAATAATAGCTTAAATTTATAAGGAGGTTTTTAAAAAACAATTTTGGATACCCAAAATAATTATTCTACGCGAACGAGGTCGCTCACACAGCTAGTACCTTATAATTTACTGAGGTTATCTAAACGATCAGTTTCGCCATTAAGGGTAGATGTCATCAGGAGATTTAAGATTGCCTGATGGTTTCATCAACACGTGATGGCCAAACATCGAGAACCATTTCTAAATTACGACGCCGCGAAATCATTATACAATTTACCATGTGGTTTAAGGTTTCATAATGTCAACCCCTACATATAATATTTAGAGCCAAAACTATTATCTTCCCTTTAAATTTTTTAATAACATAATATATAAATCCAGTGTCAAGTGTTTTTCAGTATTTCGAAACGGATTACCAGTGTCTATGAAGTTTCACGCATCTAGTCAGTATTAGATATGAGAATCTGCTATTTTTATACCCCAACGTGAAAACAGTTTTTCACCGAAGCGTTTTATTTTTTAAACGTTTTATTTTAATGTGGTTTTAAACATTCATGCAACCCTAAATTTTCAACAAATATTTTTTGGCTTCTTTTCCATCACGGCGCGACAAGTCTGTCTTACTTGTATACTAAATCCTTACAAACTTACACAAAATAAGTAATATTTTTCTACACTAGGGATTCTTTATTAAAAAAATATATATATTTGCAATACATTTGCCAATTAAGCCACATATATATAAAAGATTAAATATAATTTATTTTAACGTATAGTTTTAAGTAAATAAACGTATACAAAACTTATGTTATAGTAAATACTTAGCTGTTAGTATATTAATGATAGTTGTAAACATACGTACTCAAATATATAATTTCTATTCAAAAGATGGACATATTTGAATGTTTGCCAATACTCGTTTAGACGTTGCAACGCCACATTCACGTTATGATTTTTATGCAAATCAGTCTATCTTGTGCTTGAACTAGAAAAGTAAACTTTCAAAAGTAGTAAACTATGTACGTATATTAGCTTGTATTAATTGTACATCAATAAATTTATCATCAATAGAATGTGGGTCACGGAAAACACATAACTTATATAGAGTTTTAACTGTTTGTGTGTATATTCCACATTACCATCGAAACTAGTGTACATCATATCACAATCATAAACAGGTATGTCTAATAAACATGTTCAACAGACTCAAAATCTCTGAGAGGGAAGTAAATGCATGTAAAAGGAAAATTGACTCACATTGCAGGACGTAGGCTGCAAGCTCAGCTGCCAGGTCGAAGTTGACAGGCAGTCGACCACGCAGAACGTCTTGCTTCAGTTGCAGAAATAACTGGTACCTGTGTAATATTTCGTTTATTTTCATCGATTCATTCACACTGGCCTATGGCAAGTCAGTTATATTTTTTTTTATTGCCCAAATAATATTAATACGTATAAACTTATATGCTAGAATGGGATGAAATGGGCGTCCTTTTAACTAACTGGCGATCTCTTCCTGGCAACCTAAAATTTAGGAGAAAAAAAATAGACAAATTAGATGTGCAAGGTAAAAAATAAATACAAAAAAATGAAATAAATACAACAAATGAAAATATGCAAATTTAAAAAAGCTTACGTGTTTAATAACATAAACAAAGGAATAAATACATACAAAATTAGATAATGACTTTAAAGCGGTTTTTTTTAAATTCTGTTTAAAAGTTTTTTGTGTACCGTAAGCATACAAAATCGCTTTAACCAGTCTTCAATGGACTTTTAGTAATCCTGGAATAAGACATTTTCAGTAAATTTCTGGGTCTCTCTTTCAGTTTCGGATAAAAAGATCTTTTTCCAAGGAAGGTAGCTGCCCTTTACAAATAAATGTTCTTCCAATAAGCAGAATGATTATAGAAACACATTTTTATGCATTACTCTTGCTAAAAACATTTTTAATTTACTTTAAATAAGGTGTCCTTATGTACAGACACCGACCAATATTTATGTACAATAATGTACCAGTGAAGACACAATAATGACTTTACTGTACCGATATTTAAAGCAAAGAACCGAGCCCTCTGTGGATTATTTTCGGCAACATGAAACCATTAATAAATGTTGAACCGAAGTGGTTTTAATGAAAGTATCGTCGAGAAGAGCCCTTAGAAGGAAATTAAATATTAAAAGGCCATCAAGCTGAGATTTTCAAAGATATTAAACTGCGGCTCTTTATTTGACTTCGGGGTAGACGGTGCCTTAGCACGTTTTGTGGACTGACGACTGGAACGTGACGTTCGACGCCTCTCGAGAGAAACCGCGTCAACGTCGTAACAACGAAATGTTAATAAAATATTCGAGTATTTCTTTCTTCTAAGCGACACGGGTGAGATTTTAAAAATTCTCCTTCCACCCAATAATCCTATTAAAACCCAGCTTGGGTTTTGATAGGATTATTGGGACACCAAATGCTCCGTATAGACTGTAGATAATTTTCGTCGATTTTGTCATAATGTACTGACTTCACTAATACATGGTGATATGTGATATAGCTTCCAGAGCTTCTTTACGGTTTAAGTTAAATCTATACTAATATATAAAGCTGGAGAGTTTGTTTGTTTGAACGAGCTAATCTCTCGAACTACTGACTTGAATTAAAAACTTTTTTTGTCGGTTAGAGCATTTACCGAGGGAGGCTTTAGGCTATAGAACATCACGATGTGACCAATAAAAGCAAAGATACTGAGGGAAAGGTCGGGAGAATATCTTTAAGGGTTTTTCTTGCGTGTTCGGATCAAGATACAAGATCAAAATATGTGCGAAAGAATTCAAATGATGTCTAAAAATGGCGGCGATAGTATATGTATATTTAAAGATTAATTTGCAAAAACGACGAACGACGTCGTGGGTAACGTATTAATTAATTTATAAAGACGAGAAAGAGGTTTGCAAAAACATACTTTTGGTGCCCAAAATAACTATTCTACGCGGACGAAGTCGCTGACACAGCTAGTAAGATATAAAGATTCGGTGACGTCATTTGCACACACTTGACAGAAGCGTCGCGATCCAATTAAAATTGTTCATGAATAAAAACTTGTACTATTTATACTGAAATAGCTAAATCTTGAGAGCTCTAATGCCGCATATGCCATGCCCTTTTCAGCTTTCATTATCATAGTTATGCGTTTATGAGCTCGCCGGGTTTACTGGGAGCTCTTAGGACTCCTTTGTTACTTTTCCCTACTTCAACAGTTTATTACTGTCGCGACATAAATTGAGCCGTAATATTTATATTAATAAAAACACGAACGGTTTAAAACACGAAATGTATAAATTAAGTGATTTTAACTTGTAACCCGATGCTTCGGATCCTTAACTGTGGTCACGAAAAGACGAGTTAAGTTTAAAATCATTTAAACATTGTCTGCAGTTTACGCGGATAGTACACATTTAAATAAAATACATATCAACAATATATTTTAACCACGGTCCAACGTTAGGGATTCTTTGCAGCAGCCGTGGTCACGATGAGGACTGAAGATGAAAGATGTCAAATTAAAGCTTACATCGCTAGCGCCATCTGTTTTCTCGTAGTAGATGTTTAATATATACACGTGTAAACTACAGACAATGCCGAATAATTTACATTGTAAAAAGAAAAGGATTTGAGCCGCGATAAAAGAAAAGTTTTTATGGATTCCCTTTTTCGGAATACACAGATACATTTTAAAAGTGTCTTCAAACAACTTTAATAAGGGGCCGTAACTTAAAAATCGACTACGCTGACAAAAGAGAAAGTGCTTTGTTAACGCGAATAGGATTTTGCCAAGTTTTAAGACATCCCTCCGAGAGGGGCTGATAGCGGAGGCCGGAGTCCTGGGCGAAGTTTGTTTATTAATTGAATCGTACAAGATTCCAAAGTTTTTAATTATCCGTAACACATTCAGAACATTTAGCTATTCTATATAACGTTACAAAGAATTCTACCGGCGAAAGCGTACATAACTTTAATAAAACACAACGGTTTCAAAGCGATTAGTTAACTTATTTGGAAATTATTTTAATTAGGCCCGTCTTCGGATGCTTCATAGCCATTTCACGCGAGACAAGTTTAACTAAATATCGTTTTAAACCTTAAAATTTTATTTAAAGTGTACCAGGGTAACTACAAATAGTATTTAAGCCTACAAAGTTCAATGCACGAAGCAGGTCGAACCCGAGAAAACAACAGAAAATTGGGGAGAGGGGGGAAAGAAGTGTGATAAACTTTTTGTCGTGACCACGGCTGCTGAAAAAGCATCCGAAACGTCGGGCCGAAGTTAAAAATCATTTTCAAATAAGTTTAAATAATATATCGAGTTTTAAACCGTTAAAATGATTTATTTAAACTTTTGCCTATTTTATCACATACCCTAAAATGTGTGTCCATTTGCACGTACAATAGTTTCAGTATAGACTTACATGGATAAAGGGAGTGGAGTGGGGTTTTATTACACAAGGGTGGACAGCAACGGGCAAAGTGGACACCTAAGGCCATAACGGTAACAATTTCAAGGGTAGTGTAGTGCTGAGTGGACAGTTACACGTACTGGAAGCAGCGCACATGTGTTTTATTATCACTTGCCAGCTTGAGACAGACTCGAGCTTATACAGGGTGTGGTCAGAATTATCACATTTATTTTATTAGAATGTGAATTAAATGTTATTTTTAATGATAGAGGGCAAGACAGGGGTTTACGATGGTGATATGCTCCAAGCTATAGCATCTGAACTAGATGCGCTGTCGGCCTATTTTGGCTTCCGGTAGTAATATCCAGATTTTGAGCTGCAGTCCCATATGTGTCCGAAAAATCGGGGGATCGGAGCCATGATCCGTTGATACATTGCTACGTCAAAAAAAGGTTCCGAGAGTAGCGAAGTAACGTACTACTAAATTTAAAACACTCATCTCTACCTGAGGTATATAGATTATCTAAATACGTATCTGACCAGATTAATAATGAAATATACGAGTAATAAATGCTTATATCCTTAACATAATTAAAAAATATGTCTTCAATTGACTAAAACCTCACCAGGTTACTAACAACTAATTCCATAAAGCAAGTCTAATATTTAAGTATTTAATTAACGTATGTGCACTTTGAGACATATTGCATTGAATAGGTCATGTGTTTTATATTAATTAAAACCTCATGAAAAGATCTACGCGACCGACGTTGAAACATCGTTAAGTTGGCTTATGATTCATATTTCGTATAAAACCGAACATTTTTCACAATTTCATATATTATAAGGCACTTATATTTTATAGCGGGTTCGGTTAGTTTATAAGTACTCTCTGTAGTTTACGTAAGGACACATTTGAATAAAACAGTTTTAGCGGTTTAAAACATGAAATGTGTTAGTCGACTAAATTACAATTTATTTTTACTGTGGCCCAACGATACGGATGCTTTGTACTTTGTAGCAGCCGTGGTCACGGGGGACATGTTCATTATATGCATATACTAAGTTTGTAATTAATATAACTAACGTTTCACTTTTACAATCCTGAAATACCGTTTTCATTATTGGAACTAATACATTTCGTGCCGTTTAACGAAGGCTTTTATTGACAGGCAAGTAGTTGATCTTCTGTGCCCTGTTCGACCGAATAGTTTATTCACTCAGGATTCATACCCGCTCGCCGCTTCTTTAACGCAATTCTAGGCGATATGATTTATTTCAGTATATCAGTCTGACATTTTATGTATATTAACTGAACTATTCAGAAATCCAATCCACGACCGCAGCGTTCTGAGTAATGTCTCTACTAATTGAGCTAACATGGATTCGTGTCTAAGATATAAGCTATAAAATGCAGTAACATAAACAATAAAGGGTTAATAAACAAAATAAATAATATACTCGTAAAATTACCTCGTTATTTCCTCTAATAGTTTGCAAGGATCCGTAGCGTAGAATTTGACTCCAAAATAAAATGTATGCGAATCTGAACCTCGGAGCTGTCGTCTCAGACGTTTACCAGCATCCAGCCAGTGCTAAAGGAAAAAGATAATAACCCAACAATGTATATTAAAGCAGACAATGTAATAACTTAGAATAAATTACGTTCCAGAATCCCCTTAACAGTTTTCATTCGCTTTTTATACGACAGAGGAGAGCGGGGAAAGATGGAGTTAAGTGCCCCAAAAACTACAAAATATACAACTAAACAAGATGCTACCTTGGCTTAATTTTTTTTGATATTCAGAAATCTACAATACTGAAATCGAAAAGAAATTCACATCTTTTCTATCTGTGTTACAGTATGCATAAAGCCTTACCGTTTGATTATCTTGATCGACATAACGCAGTCCGAAGTAAGCTGTCTCCAGAAGATCAAGGTGCCGAAATACGACGTCTAGCAGAACTTGACCCGTGCTATTATCCTGAAAATAACGTTTATTAAGTATTATCAGCAGTACACACTTAGTGAAAACTGTTCAAAACGCAAAATATAAGTTATGGCAGAGCATCGAGATATCCGAAATGTCGGTTCGTAGCTAAAAAAAGTTAAATACTTATTAATTATTTGTATTTCTCGTTTCAAACTGTGTGTGTTTTATTGAACGTGTACCCGCAAACACTGACTATACTATCGTACAATATAACTTTGCTAATAAGTACTAAACTTAAATAGTGTCTATAGTTTACGAGTAGTTATTTAAACTTAACAAAATGTATCATATATGTGTATATACAAATACTTATATGTTATCATACGTAAAAGTAGGAATGTCGCACAAACAATAAATAAATAATCTAAAATCTAAATACAATGAACTCAAAATGCCAGTTCTCAGTTAATTATTTGTCGATTTGTTGTTAAATTTGTTTTTCTTAATTTGTTTTAAAAAAATACTACTTTTACTTCTTTTTTGTGTTCTTTATCTATCTATACAAATAATTAAAATTGGAGTGTCTGTTTGTAACATTAAAATAATCGCTTTTTACTAAATGCATATGGATGTATATACGGTACACATACCAATTTAAAAAAAAATTGTCTGTCTGTCTGTTTGTTCCGGCTAATCTCGGAAACGGCTAGACCGATTTTCGGAACTTTCACTGACAGATAGCTGATGTAATAGGCCACTTTTATTTTCGGCCAAAGGAAACGGCTAGATAAATTTCTTTTTAAATGATCTAAAAAAAACGTCCGCGACACTATATTATATCTATATTTTACAATTCATTTACAAGAACGACGGGGCGCGGACGAAGTCGCTGGCACAGCTAGTCACACATATTTTTTCATAATTACGTAATCATTGTGTATATTATTTAGCTGTAGTAATACCAAATAAACAATAATTAAATAAAATAAAGTCTAATTGGAAAAACTTAAATCATTTCGGTACTTATAATTCAGATACAATTCTTGGATCGCGAAGTAAGATTGAAACGTCTGAAAAAATAGGTCCATTAGCACACAATTCACTCCGAAAGGAACGCAACAAGAAGCCCAGCTCAAAACCGATCTCCCACGATACCGGCTCAACTATCTCCAATTATCATTTCTCGAGCTTTCCACAATTAAGCTAATTCGCACGCGATCCCTGGGACCTGAAAGACCAGTAGTGATGCGGTTGGCACAGTAATCATGGGGCACGGCCAGCACTCACGCGCATCGCATCCGTTATCAGTTTAATACGCAGCATTAGAAGCGATTTGCTCTTCCTATGACATGCCATTATTAACTTTGAACTTCCTACGCGAATGTAACTATTACCTCTACTAACTAAGATCTTTTTTTTAATAAAACGGTTTTTTATTGAGCTCGACCCGTACGGAATTTATTCATTTGGGTCATAATTAGAAATTTAAGCATCACATTGAATTTAGATGACAATACAATATAATAAAATCAATAACATCATAAATCCAAAATGGCCCCCGATACAAAATGGCGGATTACATATGTTTCCTTAACCCCCTCAATATGGGTATCAAATGAAAGGGCTACACTAGTAAAACACGATGATAATGATCGTGTTTTAAAAATTTAAAATTTTGTTTTTCTCAGTGGCCAAAAAATAGAACCGTTTAACTTTAAAGTTTTTTTTATGTTGATACTTGTTCTACTCATTAGATCGGGAAGCTATATGCAAAAATTTCATTTGGAAATTTCAAATGAAAATTTCGCATTTGGAATTTGTCTAAGAAAATGTCTATTGCCAGCTCAGGCTAGACACACCATCGTAGTACAACCGCAATACAGTTCGCGTTTCAGCCTGTTTAAATTATTTTGATTTTATTTTTATCTACAGCTAGTATTACAATCAACTTACAGACATACACATTAAAAAAACTATGGTTATGATTACTATGAATAGTCACAGATACAATGTCCAATAATAAATTTTAATTTTAATTAGATTGGTTGGTAAGTTTGGGAGAACAGGAACTCACACGATGGAAGGAGAAATACCCGGGCCATATGAAATAGAAACAAGATGCGCAAAATAATGTTTTATTGGAGAAAAAAGGAAACATATTAAAACAGTGATAAGTATAAACATTACTATGTGCTTTATACAAAGCGACAAAATAAGACCGATAGACGCAATATTCAATTGCCGCCGTACGGGTGTTTATTTTATTATGCTGTCCACAGACTAAAATATTTGCCGTAACAAATTAAATCAAATAGCGAGTGAGCGGTTAGTTTCGATATAACAAACGGCATGTATCAACATTTGGTTGTTCCGCGTCAGTTTGTGGGATAATTTCGAAACAGTTCGTAGAGTTGAATAATAAATGATTTAATAACAGCGCGTTCGCTGCGAGCGGGATGTGTTCAGCTAAAAAAACAAGCGACGATTTGAAATCTGACGGCAGACGCGGTAGCATTGTGCTCTCTGCACGCGATGTGCCCGGGGCAGTGGGCACAAATTGCACGGTACAGTGTCGACATAGACATTTAATTTTAAACCCTACAAGATACCTGCTTGAAATGTATCTGTTTGTAGTTTACTCGAGTAGGACACATTTAAATATAACACTTAAGCTATAATGCTCTAAAACGGAAATTATCTTAACTATGGCCCGACGTTTCGGATGCTTTACAGCAGCCGTGTCACGGGAGACTGATTTATATCGCGTTTAAATCCGTTAAAAGTGTTTTATTATAATTAAATTTATCTCACAAATACCCAGTGTAAAGACGGCTTTTTCGCTTGTAAATGAAGACCAAAATAACCGTTACCTTTAAGAGGCGGTACAACATTAATTAATCCCAACAGGAAACCCGTGTTGACGGCGCTGTTGATGGAAACTTATTTATGTAACTACCTATCTTATTAAAATATTTTTGTAGCTTGTCTCTCGTATTGACGCTTTTTTTTTAACAAAGTCGTTTGTTGCTCTATCACTATCTACACTCTGAAGACTGAAAATTATTTTCACTGCTCAAAATCAGCTCAACTGATGTCAGGCTAAGTAAGATCCACTCACGGACTTGCAAGACACAATTTTATTTCTATTCTGTTCAGATAGGCTTTTGTAATCAATATAAGTAATTTTATTTTTATATTTAGTAATAAGTATTATTTATTTTTATGTAACTTATTAGTAGTGAGTAAAGCTGTGTGTTAGTAAATACATTTATTTCTTTGTTTTCTCGTCTTAAAAATTTATCAAATAATACTAGGAAAGCGTAAAGAAGACTTGTTAGTTCCAACGACGATAAAAGATCCTAAAGTATTTTTTTTATTTTGTCGTTTTTAAGTCTACTAAGCTACTAACACGAATATGTGAACTACTTGTTTTTGATTATGGTGCAGACTTATCAAATACAAATTATGGATACTTCCGTTCGCAATTCCGTCTCTCCTTTCATCCAATCAACTCCAAAAACGGCGGATTGAAAGCGCGGGCCCCATTAATTTATTCTTAATTAACTTTTGTGCAGAGTACAAAACGTAAAAGATTTCTTCCCGAACATTTTTCATAAAAACGTGGAGAATGAAGTAATTACCCATCAATTAGAGGCCCGGGAAACATTTTGTAAGTCATTGTTTAACGGAATTACCACGAAGTGCGTAATTGCGCCGCCATCATTGGGCCCTCTGGCTTATTGGAGCCGTCGATACAGTTAAGTGAGGTGCGTCAAGATTCTAGACGGAGGCCGTAAGGCTGTGGTCTCCTAAAGCGCTATTGCAGGCGTCACGCGTTACACCGTAACAAGATGCTTACTGCTCCACGTCGTCTAGTGTACAAGCGGTTCTGGATTCCAACCCCGAGAAACAATTAACTGTTTTCGTCGGACAGAGCACAGGAGTCTGATCAACTATAAAATGAATCAACTGGAAGAATGTATTGATCTAATTTACAACAGTAGACGACAATCTATAGATACTAATATATAAAGCTGAAGAGTTTGTTTTGTAAACAGGTTAAACTCAGAAAGTTACTTGTGACCAATAGAAGCAAAGAAACAATAGGAATTGTGGAAGAAACAGGAAAAAATATTTATCTTAAAGATACCCAACAAGTATGTAGGTATAAAAGAATGATGTTTACTCTTTAAATGGCCTAAAAAATGTAGGCAACAGATATGTCTATAACTTAAGATTAACTGACAAGCACGACGCGTAGAGACGCAGGCGACGTCGTGTGTAGCCGCTAGTAGTACAAAAGTGCATTTCTGTAGTGTTGAGGGCGCGTGAGACTATACGCGGGTAAGGCATTCATAGGAGACCAAAGCCTTAAACGTTGTAGTCTCAATTCGCTCTCGCGACAATACACTCCACAATGACCCTGCAATTTCTTCTATAGCTGTGATAAATTACTGTACAGTTGTCTCGTTTTCGGCGCTTAGAAGAAAATGTTCAAAGGAAAGTGCCTATTGCAGGCAGTGGAACACATTTGAGATAAAACGCTTTGTATAGGTACAAGATTTACAATAAAACGAAAATTCTTATAGAAGTTCATAAACGGGTTTTAAGAACCGGTAAACAACAATATTTAAATTAAAATAAAACAATATAAAACGCGATATACATTAGGTAAACTTATTTGAAATTATTTTAACTACGATCCGACGTTTCGGATGCTTTGCAGTAGCCGTGGTTATGCGGACCACGTGCTAAGTTTAACTTTAAATATATATCGCGTTTTAAACCGTTAAAGTGTATTATCCAAACGATCAATACTCTTTATACATTGATATCAATATGATGAATAAAGGCAGAGAAACATTATCATGATTGGAGATAAATTTCTCTTTGTAGACAGGAAAACTGAGGGAACGACGGCGATCCATCTAAATAACCATACAATTTAGCGGAAAACGTCGAACTCTCGTCGCCACTTTGTTCAAATTGGGACGATTTTAGCGCAATATATTATCAGCTCGGGAATTTGTCTCGCGAACGACTTACAAGTTTGCGCCGTTCGAAACAAAAGAATTTTCCACGATAAGTAATAGATTATTCTCAATTACTGAGTCCGCCATATATATCACAAAAGATATGAACGTTATAGTTTGTCTACCATAGGATGTTAAGTTTGATAATTTAATAGTTTTAATTTTTTTGCCCCACTTCTGCAGCAGTACGAATTAAAAATGTTTAATGGTTCAAAATGCAAAATATATAGGTTAATTCATTTTCAACTACAACCCTATTTATACATCGTTAAGAGTTTGATATCTTTAATATTTTTCTGAGTTATTGCACATGAAGAAGAAAATCGACGATGACGTGTAGGACACGGTAGCTCAATTGGTTAGAGCAACAGCACGGAACACTGTGGATGCCGCTTCAACTCCTGCCTGTGTCGTAAATTTTTTTCAATTTATAATCGATCATTACTTTATCGTTAAAAGTGTTTAATTTAGTAAGCTTATTAGATTGTATTACTTATTTGAGAGTGTCACAATTATTTTGTAACTCGTTAGCGATATGAGTGTCACACATGTTTATGCAGGAGCGGAGTGAGAATGTCTTTTAGAGACTAAACACACTAGCGTTTTTCGAGCGTCGACATTTTGTCAACGTCCGCAGTGTCGACGCCGCGGCTTCGCGATGTCTCTCGATTACAATCACTGTAAAAATGTATTTAGATCGAGAAACTATGCACATAATATGGTAATGTTGATGTTAATTGTAATAATATAAAATAAATAAATAAATAATTAATTGCTAATAGAAGACTGACTCCAATAAAACGTGCGTTTATTGTGACGTACAATACTAAATCTAAGATACTGGCACAAAACACTGCTAGTAACATTACTGATCCGCGAAAACTACGTAAAGGAAAACTATGATGAATATATAAAATATATTATAAAAATAACCTTTTATGGTCATTTAATATTTTACGTTTGTAATATTAAATATTAACTTTAACGGTTTGAAACGCAATATAATATATTAGTTAAACTTATTTAAAAATTATTTTTATATATATCTTTTAAGCCGTTGCGTTTTATTTAAATACAGACAGTATTTAAGATAACCATTTTTGTTTTCGATTGTAACTTATTTCGCAACTCCGCTGGCGACGCTAAAGTGTACACTTACGAAACATGTAAATGTATCAAAGCACGTGCGGAGGACACGCGGAGGGCGAGGCCCGCGATCCACTCTCACATTCAACACGCGGCGACAATGCGAGCCAAATAGAATTTAATATTCATAGAGACGTAGACGATTCACTGAATTCATCGCTCGCACCTTGGACCCGAGCCCGGCATATAAAGGACCTTTCTTGAACCCCCGGGTGTGCTTCAAATAATTCGCCTCAGAATGGCTGCACTTCAAAAGTGATGGAATAGAAATGGAAAAAAAATCCACGCGTTGTTTCACGATACGGCGAAATTGAAAATGCCGGCGTCCGGAGGGACGGCCGTGAGCTTGAAATAATCTATCGTATTTCTGACGGAAAACGTATTAAGGTTGTATATTTATGGAAACTGGCCGAGGAAACCTATAACTGACCGGACTATAGATTGAAAATTAAAAGCAAATTAAATTTAATCTCAGTGTTATTAAAACGAATTCTTATCGGTCTTAATAACATCGCTAGAGGATCAACCGCGGGGTAATTAAATCTCATTTCTTGCCAATTTTGTACGCGGTTCCGTACTCAAAGGGTAAAAACACGACCCTACTTCAATTTAGCTAATTACTCCTACTACTGTTTTACACATATTATGCATTTAAAAATATCTTTTTGCATATATTGACATAATAAAGATTAAAAAGCTATCAAGATTGTAAAAGACACAGACACGGTCACAGCGAGCAGCAGTGGTTGTGGCAGAAACGGTTCAAGAAAAAAAATGTATATGAATGAACGATTCTTTTTTATGCCTGTCTCTTTTAAGATTAACTCGCAAGAAAGACGGGACGCGGAAAACGTTGCAGGTAAGATACATATAAAGCTGAGGAGATTGTTTGCGAAATTAAATTCGATGTCCAAAGTACTTAAAATTCTGTTTATATAATGATTTTTCTAAGCTTCACATGACCTGCACGTTCTCATGATGTATCTTATTTTTTTACTCAAGGGTTGCCTGGAAGAGATCGTGCTGTAGTGATAAGGCCGCCCACTGCACGCCATAACTTGTAAGAATTATTTATCTTTAAACGTTATATTACTAAAAATATTTCTTAAGGACACATGTATCTATACAGTGTTTGAGTGTGTTGCAATAAAGAATTAATTAAACAATAAATAACTATTCCACGCGGAAGAACTCGCGGGGACGGCTAGTCTAGTAGTGGGCGGCCTTATCACTGGCCGCCCATTACAATTCACTGTAGTGTCTTATTTTCATCAATTTACATTATTTTGAAATGTTAACCGTCTTACCTGCATTTCATGAAGTAATTCCCTCTCATCTAGAAACACTACGCGGCAAGCCAGGGTCCGTGGCGCGGGGCACAGGCAGTCCATCATTTTTCTCGCCAATTCCACTTCTGTAATAAAAAACATAAACATAGGTACAATTAGCTTGTTCACTGTAAATTTTAAATTCATGTAAAACGGGTAGAATTAAAATAACCGCACGCAAACAACGCGCCGGCAACTCGCTAATATTTGCGGGTAGAATACTTTTCCTTGGCCGAAACTAATTCATACGCCGCGGCTTGTTTATCTTCGCATACAGGTATTCTAAAACACGAATGTTAGTGTATATTTTCCCCTCAAAGCCAAAGTTGTTTGAAGGCAATTACGGAGTTATTTGCAGCGAGACTCAATAGTGAAATCACCAAAGGGTCGGTCGAAACCAAATATATCCTCGTTAAAAGTTAGTCCAGGGAAACGCGAGCGCTTTCTGTTTTAACAATTTTATTTTAATTAGTAGCAGCACCCGCCCTAATAGGCGGATTTGATTTGACGGGAATTTTCGAGCTCGCGCTGCCATACAATTTTATCGGTGAGTATTGATGGACGTATTGTGACTGTGCAGCGCCAGACTTTCCGCCGCTTAATTGAACTTTCCCTTTTCACTGCACGTTAATAAAAAGTGTGCTGCACTGCCCCATTCTATCGAATTACGTCGGCTTTTTACCCGACGACGGCGACGCCAAAACGAAGGATTTTGTCTGTCTATGTTTATATGAAAGTAAACGCAGCGCGGATGACAGACCGTTACTCGATCGAGCGGACCAATAAACTACTTGCCCCAACTGCCCCATATACCCACAAGGGGGTATTTAGGTACAACGAGAATTAAGATTTCACACGTTAACAAGATTCGCAACACAATCAACCGATTAATGCCTTCTTGACTCTCAAACAGAAGGTACACAAAACAAATAACATTAAACACGGCGAATGTAGTGCAAGACGAAACTTCTAACAAGCGAGAAAACTAGGAACTTCGCAACAAACAACAGAGACGGCAATTGGAGCCATTAATCCGCGCGATCCCGGCAGAGATTAGTGCTCCCACTATTGACCCCGCACTCAAGTTTCCCCCACGCGTACAAATAATTTCACGCCATTGTCTTTGGAGCGAAAAGCGTTTTATTTTTAAGCTGTGGTCTCTTAGAAACGCGATCCTAGTAGCGCGTAGCTTGCTTCGTTATCAAATACGACGTTATTTGATAACGCTCTGCTATAACGGTCTGCTAATTTTTAGTCACTAAGTTTACATGAGTCCACAGTCTAATCCTCTATAGACCAATAAATATAAAAAAATTATATCAATTAGTCTCACTGCGACTACTGCTGCGGCAAAGCATCCGAAACTTCGGGCCATAGTTAAAATTATTTTTTATACAAGTTCCACTAAAATATATCGCGTTTTAAAGCGTTAAAGTGTTTTATTTAAATATGTACTACTCGCGTAAACAGACAGTATCTATTTTTTTATTGACGAAATTTCGATATTCCTATCGAATCGATTAGGAAAATGCTAGTCCCACAGTCTTACCATTAAGCGCAGTCCATGTAGAGGAGGGCAGAAAATGTCCTCCTCTATGATAAAAAAGACGGTTATAAGTATATAAAACCCGTTAGAGATTGTACACCACATATATAAGACCAAGTAATACTAGTATTTTAATCAAGTAATAATATATTTGTAACGTTATTTTCTTTGTTTGTTTAGTTACTGTGACAAATGCACTTTTATATGCGTTGAATTGCAACGGGACAACTTAGAATTATGTATATCCATTCCTGTTTGCTTAATGTTGCACGCGGGGAATATTATTTTGCAAGCCTGTAACATTATAATACCTAAAGCCTCCATTTTATTCATTGTTTCAAATGTTATTTATTTCCATGTTTCGCCCATCCTTAGCGTAATCTCGGAATTCAGAAACCGTAGATGATTTGCAAAAATAAAATTACTTTATATTCAAATACCTACAAAGTTTAAATTCGTAGCGCGTTTATTCTCGTTATTTGAAAGACTGAGTGGGTCTTAAGTCTGGATTACGTAAACATTTCACGAATCTAAATCTAAGAACTGGAGATGCGCAAGACTTACTAAATTGACTATTATAAAGATTTAATTAACTATTAATCAGTAGTTCGGAACTATAGTACGGAAAAACAAAGGAATTTTCCTTGTTTTTGAAGATCAAACAAATCTTTGGTAAAGAGCAGTTTTCCTTTCACTTCTTAATCATGAAATAGGAATTACCTTTTTGTGCAGTCCTTAGATCGATTGGGCTAATGACTCTCAATACTGATTTTTTACTTCCTCAACTAACAACAGCTTAACTTCTACTTTAGACGTACGATTTAACTTTTCGTCCCTTGAAAACGTAGTGACTACACGGATTAAATTAAGTTATGTTCACACTAGTAGTTTTCTTTTTTCGTTGGTTCCTTTATTTTTGATAAATGATACACATGAAGGTGGTAGGGACTTTATGAATGTTGCTATTTGGTAAAATCTTCTAAAGTTCGATTTATTTCAAAAATCAACAAAATCATGATCTTAAGTTTGTTTCAATGGTTCCGTCTGTACATTTCCCAATATCTTCTTTAGATATTGGGATACGATAGGATAAGATAGGTCGATAGAGTATCCTGTTTAGATGTTATATGACGAGGATCACAGTGAGATGAAGACCATTCTTGACTACTGCGCTTCCCTGTCATAAACACACTAGAACGCTAGAATGTTGTATGTCAGTAAAATACTACAATAGTGACGTGATAAAGCCCTTCTACCTCTCTTTAATAATAATCGGCATAACACTAACGTACTTCTAACTGACAAAGGCTTCAGGACAAGCGGACGCAAGTGCATGCCGACGTGCGTCTGCTTCGCATATTGATAGGACGTCCACACAAACAAAAACCACTGTTTTACGTAGCGACAATACCCAGAGGACTAATAGTTCAAGGGTTAAATGAAACTGTACTTTTCAGCGCTGCGCGGCACAAATTTTAAATGTTTTGTTGTCGGTAGCCAGTAGGTATTGTACAGGGATATTTTCAACTCGGTTCAACTGTAAATTTACATTTTTTTATTTGCATTGCCATATCGTAAGGCTTTAAATATGTTTTCGCAGCGTACGCATCTGAAACCCACAGAGATGAAGAATTTCCCCCTTTTTGTTTACTATTTCCGCTGTATCTTGGCTTCCATGAGTCAGACCGCGATAAATTATCTAACCTACACAAAAATAATTTTTCAATTCGAACCTGTAGTAAGCAAACTCTTCAGTTTTATATATTATTATAGATAGAGGACTGTCGTCTGCCGGTCGTAATTGACTAAGACCGTCTTACGATGACTGAAAAACTCAAACACCAAAACGATTTTCTTTTTATATATAGACGCTTTGAAAACTAATTAATTGGCGTGGGTTATATGGATTTACGTGGACGCAGAATGCGATTTTGTCAATTCACATGTAAATTGTCGATAGATATCTATGGGAGATAGTACTCGATGACGTACGTTTGACTAACAGAACGTGAATTCATTTATACCATCGTCAATTTGTATTGATCAAGTGGTACCCACGATGAATTGGAAACATTTTCAATGCTATGGCTAAATAATAGCTCTATACAGATAATATCTATGAAAGCTTTCCGCAAACGACTATTTAGAAAATTTTAATCTATACATTTGAACGAAATTGTAATATCAAATACAATGAAATAGTGATAAACTTCCGCTGAAAACAAAAGATAAACAGAACGGTTGGCTACACAGCTTCAAAGACAAAGCACCCAATTCGAACGAACGACTAAGGAGTGAGTCATAATTGAGCGAGTTAATAAAGAGTTATAGAGAACGAATAATTTATCTAAATAGCTGTTTCTTTCTACATAATAACGGATTCATTGTAGAGACTTTACTCACAGGTGGTCATGTAAAGTATTAAGTTTTTTCTTCACTACGTTTTGACGTTTCGGATGCTTTTTATTAGCCACGGAGTGGTCAAACAGGAAGTATATTTCTGTAGTTCACGCTAGTAGTACACAGTTAAATAAAACGCTGTTAAAAATTGTCTTGTCAAAGCTGCGACATCTGTTTCGCCGTAGTTAGTATTTGGAGAAGCTAAGTTACTTTAATATATTTCGCGTTTTAAACCCTTTAAACTTTATTGTGTTTTATTTAGCCTATATATTCTATTTACCCCAAGATGATGATAAATAGAGTTTTTATTGATATTTCGAATTGATTTAAATTTTAAATTGAGGCATAACACAGTTAACGCTGCGTCACTAATGTAAAATATTTTTTGCGATCGAATGTCTGTGCGGTCGTTACAAAACATTGAGACTGAACTGCGCCTATGTATTAAGTCAAATGACCCGACGCGAATTTTATGTGGTAATAATTTACACGCAACGCGTCGTATGTGGACACGTATAGGTGAAGTTTTACGGGGAATAAATCGAGCTGAGAGGCCATACCTTGGCGGACGCTCGTAAAACCATGTCCTGTTTTCGACCAGCACTTTTCGCGCTTCGTAACAAAATTACTCTAATTTGTTTTTTAATGTTAGGTTCGTCGCCTCGCCGAGATTTTACCACTACAATTACAGAATAACATAAAGATTACAATTACAGAAGTTTAAATACGCGTTAACATATAATGATAAATACATACAAAATATTTTTTTTTACAGAGGAGGACAGGCTAGCGTGGGTCCACTTGATGTTAGGGAACATTACCTTAAATAAATATAGCCTTAGATGTTATTTTCGAGGAAGTTGCGCTGTCGACCCATTTTTGGACATTCAGATTGCCATAAACATATTTTAATATTCGCAAATCCATTTCAGTCCAGATTTATTACACGAAGTCAGAAAGCCTGTTTTTTAGAAATAATAGCATATTTATACAAATCAGTCTACCGATGTTATTGTCCAATGTTACAATATGTCTGACATTATTTTATGATCGTTTCCTTTGACATATTCAAGACTATCGAAAAGAGATGTCAGGCATAAACAACTATGGTATAGTATTT